TCACGAACGCTTGTACGTAAAGGAGCCATTACCTGAGGACGTGGAATTCCCGATGCTTTGCACGTGAGAGTCACGTCGCCTTTGCCCATCTCGATTTTGCTCGCCGGCCCGATGGCGACGATCTTTGGTCTGCACGCGAACTCGTCGCTGGTCACCTCGTCCCACATCTTGCCGGCCATGGTAGTCGGCTTCTGGCAAGTGGTCGGCTTCGTGTACAACTTGCGCTCGATCGTCCAGTCGCGGAATCTTTTCAGATGGCAATTGCAATTCCACGGATTATTCTGAAGCTCAAGGCTGCCGAGCTTCGGGAGACTCTCGAAGCTGTGCAGCTGCAGAGTGGTGAAGTTGTTTCCGTTCAACGCGAGGGAGTGCAGGCCGGGCAGCTCGCGGAACACCCTCTCGCCGATCCGTTCTAATATATTGTCCGACAACGACACCTTTTGCAGAAAAGTGAGATTGAAGAACAGACCGTTCTGCAGCTCCTTCAACTTGTTCTGGTTGAGCAGCAGCACTCGTAGCCGCTGAGTGTCGTGAAAGGTGCCCGGTTGAAGCGTGCGAATGTTGTTGTTCGACAGATCGATCTCGATGATGATCTTTAGATCTTTGAAGGCGCCCGTGTGAATCGATTCAATGCCGCACTCGCGCAGCGACAGTTTATGCAGATTCACCAGCGTGACGTTGCTGTTGTTGAACGCCTTGTAAATCAGGTGAGTTATGCGATTGCCGGTTAGATCGAGATACTGAATCTCAGATGAAAGGTTCTTCGGCACCTCCGTGAGGTTTTGCTTAGTGCACTCGGCGGTCTTCTTGCCGGACACCCATTTGCACTTACACATAGGTTGGCAGTGTCCCCCGTCCCAGTCCTCCTGGCCTTGACACAGGGCGACCATAAGCGCCGCACAGAGCAGCCACCGGCTCGCCGTTCTCGGTCCCATCGCAAGGAATCCTGTTAACATCGGAAACGTGCATGATGACGTTAGAACGTGACTGCGGGGCCGCCGACCGCAGAACTTACTTAGCCAGAGAGAGAGTTGCATGCATGAAGCGGAGTTTCGCCTTTTGGGATATTCCCGCCGAAAGGGTACGCGCGCGCGGCGCGCAAACCAATGTTTCGCAGATGCAGCTTAATGTGTACCAGCGCACGCGTTCTGTGTGTACTCGAATATTATTGATAGTTGAACGCGGACGTAGATCATTGTTTAATTATATGATCGAATAATCATATTACGTACACGCAGCCGGAATTAATTATTATCGAATAATACACGGCGCTTAATAATTTTGAATAATTTGTATGCCACACAAATATCCCCGCACGCTATTTGACACTTTTGGTTAATGCACGTTGGGATAATTGTCCGTGACTGGCAGCGAACAAATTACCCGGCTATATAATGATTTTGCAGTTATAAATGTCGGCGTGGATTTTTCCGCATATATCTCGGATTTCACAAGTTTCGTATCGCTAAATTCGGATTCGCTTGACTTGTACAATCGATATGCATGTGGTGTTAAATATACAACTGCTTCTTACGACGACGTAAGCCGCTGCAGTACAAAGTTGTTCTGCGGCTCGCCGTGCAACAAGACTGAACTCGACTTTCCGTGCAGTTATCGGAGAGAGAAGTCCGTCCATGTCCGAGGCAGTTTCAGACCATCAGACACACCTCCGGGATTTTCTTCGTCTTTTCGAACGCTCCGTCCTTCTCTTCTCGCATTCCCCCGAGTCCGCTCTTCCTTTATTTTTGTTAGTCAACCCCGCTAATCTCGAAGCACGTCGGGGTACCCCTAGCGAGGACTGTTCGTAATTTAGCTTAATACCGTTCACTGGTAGTCTGCACTCTCCAACGCCGGCGTCGCGTCGACGCGTCGCTGAAGTTAAATTAATACAACACAACGAGCAGCGCGCGCGTTTCACCCCTTTTATTATCGCCGGGGTTCGTGGAGTCCGAGGTTGTGCATCAAATTAGTCTTTCCGCCGACGGGCGGCGAGCGCAATTCATCGCGGCTCTCCCTACGGATCGAATCAGCGAGAGGAAGCGGCCGAGTTCGCTACGAAATTCTGCTAAAAGAATTTCAATCGGAATGACGAATTGGAATACGAACGACCGGAAACAATTCACTAATAGAATATTATCCAAATACATTTGTCTAATTCCTCCGCCCGCTTTGTCTCGTAGATTATATTTTACAGTGGAGACTTTGTACAGCACTCTTGGAACGAATATATTCAGTCGAGCGAAATTAAAACGCGCTCGAGAAAGACCAACGATTATAAATTAAACATGATTCAATTCCGCTGGAGAGTCATCACGGAAAGTCGTCAGCGAGTTACGGTGGACTAATTGAAATCGCGTAATGTCCATTTCGAGGAGTACAAAGTAAACGGCGCGTCGCGCGGCGGATTAACGCCGCGAAACGCGAACAAGGAGGAAAATTCGCTTGTGCCGAAGATACGCGCCGGGATCAGCTCGGCGAAACTTGTTCCGGCGGGAATCGCGCGCCGCTGTAGATTTCCTCCAACTTTTCCCGTATACATACTTCACACGGCCGACCTTACTCCCGGCGCAGCAAACTTTTTCAAGTCCTCCATCCCACAAAGGACGGACGCGGTCGTTGTACTCGCTTGTTGTATCCGGGACTTTATCGTACCGTGGCCGCGAGAGCAGTTTTTTTTCCGATCGGCGATCCGGCGACCGAGCGATCGGAAATACATGTGCGGCCGGGCGCATTGCCTTTTAAACCCCGTCGCACACACGTATCGCCTTGGTCTCCCTTTTGTCCGCGTAGTCTAAAGGTAAAACAGCGCTCTTTGAACCGCGGCGCATTATTCAAAATGTGTCGCTTACGACACGTGCAGCGTGTCTCTTTTCCACGGAATATTCATATAAAAAAAAGTGTACGAGAACGTTAACGCTACACGACGGCGAAACGACGATGCTAAAAGATGACTACTCTCTCGTGTGCGACGAGCCTCGATTCGTACGTCCGGCCTTTCGTTTCCTTTTGGCAATACACTCCGATGAGATGCGGCTTTACGGCGGGCGGTCCTTTCCCTCGATCGCAATCGCGCATCGATCGATCGCATTTGAATTGTAAATGTCTAACCAACAAGGACATTGGATACGGAGAAAGTGAGGAGCTTGTAGTGACTGCAGCGGCTTTTAACCCAGACGAAACGACCGGCGGAGTGTAGTGTCCTTTGGCCGGAGCGTGTATATCACGCCGGAAGGAACTGCCCCTCACCCGTCTCATCGCGGCACGCGGAAACGCGGAAGTGGCTCGATGCGGACGTGTGCGTGTCCAGCACGTTCGCGTGCCACGCAGCGAGGGAAAAAAGGTCGAGCGCGAAGAGAAGGGGGGACCGAGGGAGAGGAAAGGGAGAGGGCCGGTCGACTTTCTGCGGGGTGGAATTTCAAATTCGAATCCTCTATCAATCAAGAGCGTTCCGTTCCCGGCAGGGATACGGGCAAGTATGCCCTGTTGCTTCTACAGAAATTTCATCAATCACGCGGGCCAGCATACCGGAGGCGATGGTTATCCTGCCGGATCTGTCCGCCTGTCCTATATTTTCGCGCATAAAATAAGATTTCGCGAAATACCTACACGCGCGACCGATGATTGGCGGATGTAATGATCGGTACAACGAGTTAGGTGGGCGGATATCGCGATGCTTATAAATTACTTTCGAAAGCGGTCATTACGATGCAGCTTTCGCTGCAGAAGCGACACGTAAATGTGGCACGTTTTGAAAAAAAAAGAGCAGAATTGGATTAGAAAAGCGCCGTATCGTGCCGTGTTCTCTTTTTTATCGCGAAGCAGCCGTTTAAGTGGAACGTAGATTGCTATAAGTGATTCGCAGTCATGAGTTTTCGGGAACTTTGCGTTTCCTACTAAAGCACGGCGATTTAATTTGTAATCTGCGAGGAAAGAGGGAAGAACACGCGCAACCTTGCCCGTGTCTGCGCGATAACTTTTTCTCGGCAGAAACACGGATTATTGAACGACGACGACGACGCCACGCGGCTGTCTTCCAAGAATATCAAAGAAGTTACAGCGGATGGATTTATACGTGTTATATATACCTCGAGATAACACTCGACGCAAGGGGCTGAACGTGGACCGAGACTTCGGCGAGAAAAACGCTCGTGTACAGCGCGCTCCATTGAAACTTCTCGGAGATTCAGTCTCTCGTAGTTGGAGGCGCTTAAATGTAATAACGAAATAGAGCGAGCAACTTTTTGTTAAATTACCAGGTCGTGATACAAATGGCCGTGAGGCGAAAAGGAGAATTTCGTTTTCGATGTAATCGCGTTGTATAAAGTGGGTTGAAAGTTATTATTGTGATCTCCGGCTTGACTTAGTTGAGAAACATTATCTAACTAACTAAGAATCTTTAGTTCCCCGCAGTTTGCTCATTATTACTTAACCGTATTTTATACAGGTCCACATTCCGAACACTTTTGTTTTTTTTTTTGCAATAACGTTCGGCACAAATGTAGAAAAGTACCACAACTTTATCGTCTCAGAGAAATTAAAGTCCGTATAAAAAAGAATTAATTAGACGATAATAATAAGTTTATTAATCGGATTATATAACAGTTGAGATATATAAAAATTCAATTTTTAATTATATGAACTTATATGCATACATTAGTTCAAATTCATTCTTTTTCTCGAGATAGCTTTAGGGATTAAATTATATAAAATGTGAAGATAATACGATAGATAATACGAATTGAACATATCTGGAATTAGATTTTAGGTATTTACTCGTTAGATCCATTTCCATGATCGCGTGAAATTATGCATATTAACTAGGTTACAACCTATTCGCTTGACAAATATTGACAAAGACGAAGCTAGACATCGTATGATTTATGCTATGCATATCGATGCGACGATGCAATAATTGCACGTGATGATATAATAACATATGACTTTATACATGTTATTCAAGAGCGATAGTTTCATCGTATAATCAATTTGCGCAAGAAGCAAGTGAATTTAGTTAATCGTACTGCCGGATCGGTTCCGGAGAAAAGTGTGGTGTTTTCTGTGAATTATCGAAGAGTGCTGTTTTCATTACGCCGGGTCACCGTGCAACGACCATGGTAATCGACTTTCTAATTATAAACGCGGGACTCGCTGGCGCTCTTGGATGGGGCGCGTGAACTCTCGACCGAGGTCACTTTTTCCCGATAAGTCGTTAATAGTTAATTAGCAGAGAATAAGGACGGAGTCGTTAGCCCGTTCCATCATCGACCGTCGACCGAGCTAGGAACGAATTAATGAATGCATTTGGCGGTTTTATCTTCTCTGCGCCAATAGTAGAAGCATACGGATAAATTAAATATGTTATTATACGCAATGACACATGACGCATCAACAATTTTAATTGCTAATAAAATATTACAACTGTTTCTGAAATGTGGAAGATACTTGAATACTTATCAATATTCCGATTTTAGTCAAATAAATATATTCATAGCATCTCGAAATATACTGGCAAAGTGCATTAATGAATGAAGTGTACATTAGATACAGCGCGGAGTTGATTATATCACATTTATCATTGAAACCCATTAGGTTCGTATTTATAAGTATGATTATATGCAATTTGAATGTCTCAATCATCATTGAAAGTATTTCAATAAATAGAACCTTGTTAAAGTTCAATAAAAGTTTTAATTAAATGTTGAAGGATTCTCGCTGCTGTTGGAAATTTTTAACTCTGAGAATGTATTTATATAGAGAGACACAGAAGATATCAATATATAAACATTATTAAGTACCACATTATTTGACGTGTAACGATCGCGTGCGCTTACGAAAGTAATATATCTCATGTTCTTTGCAACAGCGGGACGACTTTTCTATATAAATAGCATGATAACGCACCGGAAATAGGGCAGACCATATTTACACGAACGCTGAGTCGATATGCACCTGTCGTGTACTCGATGACGCTTTGTGTAATCAAATTCCGTATCCTTTCTCGTGAAGATCTGCTTACCTGCATATACACACGTGATACGTATACACAGCGTAACTTCCGTCTGTGGAATATGATTGAAACTGTATCTTGCACGCGTGTTTAGAAAAAATCATTTAACAGTACCATTCAACAGAAAGACTGAGAAAGCTTTGTTTTA